CCAAAATCCATCTGACATAAGCAGTGATCTATCCCTCGTTCCAAATCCTCTTCTGAATGTGGTTTAAACCTCTGGAAGTTCTCTGTCAATGTATGGTTGCAGCTGTTTTTGTATTATCGTTAGCAAAATAGACACTTTAAGGATAGACACTCTTTCATAAGTCTTAAACAGGAGGAGTAAACACAAGACAGAGACAAACATAAATTACCCAGGTGAGGAAAATCAAAGACACCATGATGAGTTTCCAAGCTTCATAAAAGGTGGTAACTTCTTATAGGGCACAAAGAACAAAGAAATCTCTTCCCACAGTCATGACTGACGGCAGCAGTGATGAGTTCCATCTCTATGTCTGGCCTACAGAAAGCAGGGAGAGGACTATTGCATATAGGAAAGCTTACAAATTGTCTCTGCAGCTCTTGGGGTATGACATCACAACCAGGCGACGATTATAGAGTATGTCCAGTGATGTTTCTGAGAGAGCCAGCTGGGAAAGTGGTCAAAAACCCACTTTTAAATATACTCTGCTTCTAATTCTGGCAGTTCACTTGTCAGAGGTGCAAGAGTTACTCAAGGAAAAATAGCATCTGAACACTTAAAGCTAGGCATGAGATGGAATTAAGCAGAAGTCCTTCATAGGAAAAACAACAACAAAAACAACTCTTCAGATTTCATGCTGTACAGCATGGCCAACCACACTCATTTTCACTATGTTCTTGTCACCTATGGGAATTTGCATTTGTAACCCTGATCTAGAATGAACTTTATGATAGCGAATGAAACTCCCCCAGCTACAAGGTTCTTAGGTCTTAAAGAATTAGGAGGATTATCTTCATTTTAGTAGGTACGTGTGGCATCCTTATGACTAGAAAATTTGACTCCCAACCTTCCTTAGAACTTCACAAGAGGTGCTGTGTCTCCTACAGAGCTAACCAACTAGAAGAGACTCAACATGATCTCATACTTGTCAAGTGGCCATCTTTTACAATTCCTTATTCTCCAAAATCAAGGAAGGAAATGTGCACTTAAAAAACAAACTATACATCAAATACAAATTTTTAAAAACTAGTTTTTGTTGTTGTTATTTGGGTATCATCGAGTCCATTTTGACTCATAGCAGCTCTATGTACAATGGTACAAAACCTTGCCCAGTCCAACCCCATCTTCACAACTATTGTTATGCTTGATCCCCTTGCTGCAGCCACTGTGTCAATCCATCTTGTTGAGAGTCTTCTTCATTTCCATTGACCCTCTGCTTCACCATGCAGGATGTCCTCATCCAGGGGCCAGTCCCTCCTGATAACATTTCCAAAGTATGTGAGATTAATTTCACCATTCTCAATTCTAAGGAGCATTCTGATTGTGCTTCTTTCCAAACAGATTTGCTCATTCCTTTGGCAGTCCATGGTATATATACTCAATATTCTTCACAAACACCATAGTTCAAAGACATCCTGTGTTTTTCAATCTCTTTTAATCAATGAAGTGGATTGACAAAGCAGCAGCAACAACAGACTCAAACATCACGATCGTGAGAATGGAGCAGGACCGGGCAGTGTTTCATTCTGTTGTGCACAGGGTCACTATGGAACCGACACAACAGCATCCGACAAAAGCAACACCAAAATCATGTCACAAAGAGAAAGGAGCCAAGGGAATGGGAGTGGGGAAATTTGAGGAACATTTTAAATTGAATTTTCTGTAAAAGAAATTATTAGTATGATTGTGGGAACAAATCTAAATTAAATTATATAGTCTATCTCACTGAAAAATGATACTATTTTTGAAAAATAATGGGAAGCAATTCTATATTAAAAGTTGATTAAATCAACTTGCATAACAAATGAATGATTCTGAGACTTCAATAACTAATCATCTCTCATTTGGCTTGAATAAAATTGGATTATTTCCCACCTCAATTAAACCAGCACAAGCTTAATAACTTTTTCTTGTCACTTTTTTTGTTGTTGTCATTTTTTTTCACATACTACATGTTCTATCTGAGACTTTCCTAATGAATAGAGATTTGTGCTTTTAGTGAATAGTGTATCTCTACATTCTATATCTCGAGATAGAGTACTGATTTGACCTGGCTTCAATGGCTTGATGATCAGAACTTGACTAGAGGAAGCTAAAAGATGAAGGAAACAAGTGTAAATTGCTACAATTTGATGAACTTGACCTATACTTGTATATGTAGTATCTTGAGTTCTATCTCAAGAAGATAAAGCCAAATATTACAAAAAAATGTACAAAGATATGGAATCAGAAAAC